CTCTGAAACCATGTCAGAATCAGTAAGCGAGAATGAATGAACTAGCAGCAAAATGGTTACAAGTAGCAAACCCTAATTGGGTTGTACCCCATATGGGCTACCCCACTATAGCCTACACAATAAGCAGCATATAAGTTTGACACTTATTACATAGGTTGCGTTCTTGCGAGGATCGAGTCTCGAGTTCAGAAAATATATTATGAATCCTGGGTAAAACACGAGGTCTATATATAGTCGCATCACAAATAAGGGCAAATAACCAGGATGTTACTGGAATATTTCGTGCATCAGGAACCATCGGGAATGGAACCTTCCCGAATTCGGTAGAGGAAAATCGGTGATAGTCACGCACACGCGAGATCACACGAGATAACTCTAGATAACTGGCATTCGGTACATGCAACCAATTCGGTGCTAAAACTATGATAACTATAGAAAAGCAACGAACTAGGAAACATGCACCGAAAGGAAAATAGAAAATATAAATATGCAAGGTCAGGTAATAACGGACAGCGTACTCTCACACATCCCCCCCCTCAAAGCTGGGTGGAGTGAGAAACGACCTGCTTGACAATATAATCTTTGCGAGTACGGCGTGCGTTGACGTATCAGCTTATGCAACCCAACTGTCTTCTGACGGGTCATACCCCTTCCAACAGGTCAGGAGCTCGAGCGTGTTGCCGCGCCGGCGTCGATGCGCGAGTACACGTTCCACCTCGTACTCTGGTTCATACTGTACAAGGACAGGTGGCGGCGGCGGTAGTTGAAGTCCCTGGTATTGTTAATTGGGGCCCTTGTAGGGCTTCAGAAGGTGAACATGGAAAGCATTGTGAAGCTTCCACGTAGTTCGTAAGCGCAAGCGGAATGTAACGTGTGTCACCATCGTCTCGATGCAGAAAGGACGACAAGCGAGGCCGGAGCTTGGACGGAAGGTGAGATAAGTCCAGGTTACGCGTGTCCAGAAGAACTTGGTCTCCGATTTCTACCGTATGATCATGGCGTTGATAGTATGCATACTGCTTCTGAGAGTTCTGCATCGTGGTAAGACGTCGTTGAGCCTTCTCCCATAGTTGCTTCATGGTGGTGACAAAGTTGTGAGCGGCTTGGACGTGTGCCGGTGCGGTTGGTTGCTGTGGTGTGATTGGTTCACATCCGTAGCACAGAAAGAAAGGTGATTTTCTGGTGGCCGCATGAGTTGCATTGTTGTATGCGAACTCAATAGTTGGTGACTGTGTATCCCAGTGGCTGATGTCGTCTTTGCATGTTGTACGCAGTAACTGTTCAACCACCTGGTTCAGTCATTCTGTCTGTCCGTCTGTCTGAGGGTATGTTGAATACATCACAAGGATTTTGTTGCTCCCGAAATGGCCCGCATATGCTACGTCATGAAACTCCTCGAGTAGGATCTGTCGAAGTGGAGCATAGTTCAGAACCCAAAATTTTCCGGAACCCTTCCGCACTGCTAGGTCTTTCTCCCACTGTAGTAGTTACTGCTTCTCTACTGTTTCTATCTCTGCGTCCACGAAGTACCCATGTTGGAACAAGCCTTTGAGCAAGAGGTTCATCTCGTCGAGCTGTATCCCTTCTACATGTCTGGGTTGGCTCAGTGCATCTGCCTTATTGTGTAGTCCTGGCCTGTAGATGATGTCGTAGCGAAAGTGCGTCTGGAGGAAGTCCATCCACCGCACCCGTCGCCTAAAGAGTGTAGGCTGTGATTTGAGGTACTTCAGGCTGCAGTGGTCGGTGTAGACCGTAGTCTTAGCTCCTTCCAGATAGCACCTCCACACCTTGAGCGCTGTGACGATCGCCAGGTCACTCGCGGTCACATCTCTAACGCCTGAACGAAGGTTTCTTGGGGTACGTAGGGCGAGCGAGTAGAGTGTGCGTATATGAGTGGCACGACACTCTGCGCACTACTATGGAAGACCTCCGCTCCTTCCCGTCCTCAGCTGACCCTCTTCATTCGCTCAGGCTCTACCCCTTTCTACATCCTTGTCTACGTGCACAACTTACTCCTCCGCCTGATGTCCCTACGCTCTCGACTCCTATCCCTGAGGAGCATGTTAAGCCCAGTGGTCAGTATGCGGAGATGGTGGGGTGCCTCATGTACCTGATGACCTACACTCGCCCAGACCTCGCATATCCTCTCAGCATCTTTGCTCGCTTTGTTGCGACTGGAGGACACTGACCTGAGCACTGCTTGAGTCTTGGCGCTGGAGCTGTCTCGTGGAGGTCCGCGCGCTTGTCGTCGGTGGCAAAGTCTAACTGTGAGGCAGGTATCTACGCGGGTGCTATGGCTGCTCAGGAGCTCCGCTGGCTGATGTTCTTGCTCACTGACTTAGGTGAGTCGCGTAGCTCTGCCCCGGTCCTGTTCGCTGATAACATGGCCATGATCCTCCAGTGTCAGGGACTTCGACTGTAGGGCGAGCGAGGCACATCCAGCTGCGGTACTTCCTGATATGCGAGCTGCATCAGGCACGCATAGTACACTTGCCCTCAGGGGCCAACACCGCTGATATCTTCACTAAGGCGCTCCAGTCTCGTGATCATCAGCGGTTCTGCACACAGCTTGGTCTTGTCCCAGCCGGGCCTCACTTGGTAGGACCTTGATCTCTGTACTCTGCTATGTTGGTGAATTTGTTTACTTATACTCACTGATTGGCCTTGTGGCCTTTCTCTCAGAGGCTGGGCTAGTAGTACCGCCCTGAGCTGTACCTCTTACTCTTTGTTGTTCTGTCTGATTGGCCTTGCGGCCCCTTGCCTCAGAGGCTGGACTAGTAGTGCCACCCTGCGTTGTTTGTCATCTTCTAGGCACTGCCCCTCACCTAGCCTAGGGGGTGTGTCAGCGTACACATTTGTGTATACATGTGTACTTTGTATGCTAGGTCCGGGTTTGCTATAGAGAGTACAGGTTGCACATATCTAGGCCCGATGATGCCCTCCATAGTCCATTCTTCACTATCACATCTGAATCACATAATCCATTTTTTTTCTCATGTGTTACGCCAGCTTGCATTTCTCTCGATGATTGCCAAAGGCGGCAGCTTTGGAACCCGCACTCGTCTTGGAAAATTTGCAAGTATACAAAGTGGCATGAGAAACAATTTGCGTACTTTAAAATGTTTCTATCCATAAGACCTATTAGGCACCATTTGTTTCCGTTTATATGAGACACTGCCCTTTTATTGGCAGTATAAGTTAAGACATATATGTATGGTATCCGGGTGATGAAGGTACCGTAGCAGTAATATGCAAATGAAAACATTTAATGAATATAAGGAAACATGTAATACCGTAAAAGCAAATGAAGAAGAAGAAAAAAAAAAAAAAAAAAAAAAAACTATACGTTTTTCTGCATTGCCGTTGCAACCTACTGCATCTTCTCGCTAGCGTTACAACCAAGCTTAGCTAAAAGGATTGAACCATAGTCCCTCTTCTAATTCTGCATCTATATCAAACAAATCTCCGTTGACATCTTCCATAACGTTGCTCCGCAGTGGAGACGACTCGCTACTATTCTCCATCACCAATTTGCCGCCACCATTACTGTAGCCCCCAAAAATGTCTTCCAGCATATCAGTAGCAGAGTAAAAAATGCCACCCTGAGCAGCTGGAAGGCCGGATCCCCTTGCAGCTTCAACTGAATTGCTCTGTAGAGGAAACACATCAGCTGTTCCATTCACGTGAGGAGCTGATTCGTTAGCAGGAATAGTGATGTTGCCTAGCCGAGCGTGCTCACTTGAAGATCCCACTGCAACACTGGAGAATTGCAGCAAGGGTGCAGCGACCTCCACTGGTGGTAACCCCGTAGCCATAGTAACAGCTGAACCCACATCGTAACTGCTACTACCCAGGTAGTGGAGGTCATAATCTGGCTGGCTACCAAGAACCTCAGCTGTAACATTTGGCCGAGCGTGGCGATCTTGAGAAATCTGGAAAGTCTGGCCCTGTGCAAAGTGCACAGACAATGGTTGAAAGCCGGTGGGCGGTGGCTGGTCCGTTGGTATCTGAGAACTCTCTAAAGGTGGGCAGCCTGCATGACGATACGAAGGTCAGAGAAGCAGGTTGACAAGGGATGGGCGGTAGCGAGATTGTCGGTTTCTGATAGTTCCCAAAGCTAGGCTCTCCTCCAAACGGCACAGATGGCGTGAGCGGTGTTGGAAAACATGTGGGAGGTGGCAAGTCCATGTGCTGAGCTGCTGCCGCGAGCGAGATGTCTGGTTTTTCAGTTACAACAGATGCTGCCGCTGGAGCCATTGCTGCTACTGCCTCTACTGCTGGGCATGTATTTAGAGTCGTCTCAAATCGTGTCTGTGATTCAACCTCCGTCAACTCTGCTGCTGGGCATTTGGATGTGAGCTGCAGCTGCCCGGTTGCTGTGCATGTGGATGTGAGCTGCAGCTGCCCGGTTGCTGTGCATGTGGATGTGAGCTGCAGCTGCTGAGCTGCTGGTCCCTGATGGGTATCATCCACTTGATGGCAGTTTTGAAGCCCTGATGGGACAGGAGGACACATGGTTTGACACACGGGGATTACTGAATTCCTGTGGGGCCCTGACGGGACAGAAGGCAGCATGGTTTCACACACAGGGATGACTGACTGGCTTGGGAGCATTGCCCCTAGTGATGATTCTTGGTTTGGATCGGTGGGCATGGAAATAGGAGGAGGCGTTGCAGGGTTAGCTTCACTGCAGCCGCAGCTGCAGCAGCAGAGGGCGGGGTTCGTTGCAGGCACGGGGAGTGGCTGGCTCGGTGCGGGTGTGTGTGGGGAAGGTGGATATGGTGCAGGTGGGTACGAGGTAGATGCAAATGGGGGCGGTGGATATAGCGTGGTTGCAGCGTCACAAGCAAGGCGGTGTGATGGCTGATGTGGTGGTAGCTGGAAGAAGGGCCGAGAAGAAGATGGGGGAACTTCCACCAGTTGTGGTGGTGGCTGAACTGGGAGAGATGGAGGGGGAGATAGTAAGGGATGATGTTGCTGTGGTGGTTGCGACATAGGAGATGTCTCAGAAGCTGGAGGAGCAGATTGTAAGGGAAGGTGTTGGCGTGGTGGTTGTGGCTGTTGCTCATCGAAGCTGCTGTCTACTGGCAGCACCACGTGCTGCTGCTGCTGCTGCTGCTGCTGCTGCTGCTGCTGCTGCTGCTGCTGCTGCTGCTGCTGCTGCTGCTGCTGCTGCTGCTGCTGCTGCTGCTGCTGCTGCTGCTGCTGCTGCTGATGATGATGATTTTGCTGCTGCTGATGCTGCTGCTGCTGATGCTGATTCTGCTGCTCTTGTGGATGCTGATGCTGCAGTAATGGACTGATTAGGTGGTTGATAATCTTTGTGCTGCTGCTGCTGCTGCTGCTGATGATGTTGGTGCTGGTTCTGGTGCTGGTGCTGGTGTTGGTGATGATGCAGGCTCGGATGTTGATGCTGATGCAGATGATGCGGAAACGGATGGTAAGGCATTTGAAGTTGTTGCTGCTGTTGCTGCTGCTGCTGCTGCTGCTGCTGCTGCTGCTGCTGCTGCTGCTGCTGCTGCTGCTGCTGCTGCTGCTGCTGCTGCAGGGGCGGGTACTGAGCATGGTAAGGTGGCTTGAACTCGTGCAACCCTGCTTCCAAAGGTTGGGAAGTGCAGGAGAAAACAGCAGCGGCGGTGAAGGGAGAAGGATACCTACGATGAGAAGCAGCATGACAGGGAGCAGAAGCAGGGCAGGGAGCATCAGCAGTGGGTGAGGGAGGGAGAGGAGAGTGAAGAGGAGGAGAGTGGTGCTCTGGCTGAGGTTGTACAGGAAATGCTTCTATAGAGGAGTATGGCTGGGGAGCTGAGAAGACCAGAGCATCTGAAGCCGGCTGATCAAGAGACGCAGGTCCTGGGATATCCCCTGTAAGAACAGGAAATACCGTTGCTGTTAGCGCTGATGGCTCTTCCTCCGGCGGTGTAGCGACTTCGCAGCACTGAGGAGCTGCAGGAAAGGGCTTCACTTCAAACTCAGGTGATTGGGATTCGGATGGCCGAGAAGGAAAGCGTGAGCTTGAAGGGTGGTGTAGCTCCAACTGGTTTTGAGTCTGTTTGCATTGTCTAAATTGCTGATGCTGAGCCTCAGGCTGGCGCTGAGATTGCTCGCTGGACAGCCGCTGCTGTCCATATTTATTCCGGCAACACGGTATGGCAGGAAGGATAAGCCGGCTGACACCAGAAAATCCCAATGAAGTGGAAGAGCTTGGAAATGTAGAGAGGATTCCGGATGCAACGATTGTACTGCATTGATAGGAAATGGAGGTGCAGGGAACTTGCATGTTGTCGGTGCAGTTGCTCGGTTTGTAACCAGCAACTCCGCAGGTGTAAGGCTCGTCGCCAATGTCGTCAGCCACAACTTTCGCATCGGGAACAAGAGCAGCTCTGACGGTTTTAGCGAGCCCCATCGGAACCATCGTAAGTTTTCGAAACCCATGGTTCGGCTTGCGACGGGAAACCAGGGTAGCTCCATTACCGCTGCGTCCGGAAAAGCTCGTTGAACCACCAGCACGCGAGCTGGCGGGTGGCGTCGTTGCGGGGAAAGCAGACGGGAAGGAGTTGCGCTTCGCCGCGCTGTGGTTGTGCTGACCAGTGAATGATACATGGAAACTGGCTGGTTGCGTGTCCACGTGCCAATCGACGATTCGTTTGGCAGGACAAGGCTCTCCTGTGCTCGAACACGAGCAGCGGAAGTACGACCTGATGAGGGAAGCCAGGGCGTTTTGAAAGGGAAATATATTCAATACACCTGAAACTGACTTCACCGCAACTTGAAGAATAAAACCTGTCCTAAAAGGACACTTACCGCAGGCAATTAGGCTTGTTCATTAGCGGTTTCTCGCCATATTTTAGCCAAGAATAACCATCCTCCGGAAGACAAGTTGGCACCAGTGAAGCGCGCAGTTTTTTCCCCTCCGCTTGACGAATCTCCTCGCTGGTAATACAAGTAGCTTGACGAATCGCCTCGATGTCGCCGCTGCTTCCGGCACCTTTCAATGACCGTCGTCCCGCGCAAGTCCTTCTGCTTCTTCCGCCGGTGCCCGTGCTATAGGATGCCGCGGAGGAATGGGGAGAAGTGCGGTGAGTTGGCGATCGTGTTTTCTCCGCGACTAAGTTCCTACTACTAGTATCAGCCACAGTAGGTGGCGCTGTGCTACTACCACTAGTACTAAGGTCTCTACGATACTCCGTTATATCTTTCCCTGCATCTAAGTTCTTCCGCTTCATTGTAACACTGATCAGTGCGACTTTTAAAGTTAGACCGTTGCCAACGTTTGTATTGCTGTGCGGGGGTGGTCACTATACGAGGGAAGTATGCCGTGAGGACGTGAAGATCGTAAAACTAAAACTAAAACTCGGGAGGGTGCGTGTGATAGTGATGTGTTACTGCGGTGCAGTAAGGTTTCAAAGTTTGATAAACAATCGCTGCTCGTTACCGTTTAGGACCGCAGAACGAATCGAAATGATGGTGCCGCTGATTCAGGTCCGTTTTCCCTGAGAATTCAGATTTGGTTTCGGCTCACCTCAGAGATTTTCAGGTTTGGTTTTCCCCTACCAAAACACTACCCCCACCTTCCCCTACGTAGTGTGTAGAGTAGGTCAAATATATTTGACCAGCCTGGCCAGGTTGGGCTGCTTCCCGGAGATTTCAGGGTTTTTTTCGGGTCAGCTCAGCTTCTTACGGGCAGGGCCCAGACCAATCGACAGCCCTGACCGCACTGAGAACAAGGGGGGGAATCAAACAGTGCTCGGATAAGTCCTAGCACGTTTCGTGAACCTTCAGACACTGCCATGTACACAGGAAGCGCGTTTGACTCCCACAACTTTTCCCGTCATTTGGGTGTTTAGTGAGCAACCCTGTTTCGCTTCCTCGCCAACATTCGCCACGGGCAAAATCGGGACTGTAGTGGGCAGGTGAAGAAATGTAACCAGCTTCTTCAAAATATCTCACGAACGGACGGATGCCAGCGTGATAAGCTGTCTGTTCAACGGCTGCGATCAAAATAGGGGCTTGTATCGTTCGTGCAACTGGCTGGTACTACTTGCAATTGGGCAGGCTGTCGAGCTTGGACAGACCAAATTCACGTGCAGTCGTTGAGCATCCTGTGTACAGCAGAGAATATCCTGTGTGATTTTTCACTACAGTGGCGTACAGTGGCGTACTGTGGCAATTGTGGCAATTGTGGCAAATTATATCAAACCGAGGTTTCTTTTGCACTTGTTTTTGCAAGCACTTGTTTTTTTTAAGCACTTCTGTCAAACCATGGGTGTTGGCATGCCCGAGGATTGTGGCGAAAAAATAATGTGCATCAAGTTGCGCTTTTAGATCACGAAATTTTTCCCTGAATTACACTTCAAATTATCAGCTGTTTCTGCTTCACCTCGACATTTAATGCAAACGGTTGCGTGCCAGCCACAGGCCAACACCTCAGATTGGGTGACTGGCTGAACAAGAGCCGTGCTTTCTTGCTGACTGATGCCACATTCTTGTTGTCCGTTCCGGCTTGTGCTGGGAGACGAGGACACATGCGGGCACGTGCGAAAACAAAAACACTGCACTCTAGCAGAAAGAACAGGTCGCCTCGCCATGGGTTTGATTCCTGTCCAGTCACCAAAGGATTTTTTGTATACGAAGCAATTGAAATGTGGAGGTTTGTTTGAGCGGTATGTCAAAGCAGTTAAAGCAAAACAACTGACCGTAAACGTTTCACGGAAGTGCCCGTCTGCCCGTTCCTCTCAACCAATCGTACTTCCCTTCCCGTCCTTTCGGCTTATTCTCGCAACTTGCAATAGTGTCCATCTTGAATGAATGTAGTCTATGGCGCTGTTCTGCTGGAGTTCTCGCCTGCGCACCGTTGGTGCGGAGGTCAATTTCGTAGTGACTTCTGGTGCCTTTTTGGTTGACTTGGCAAAACATGAAGGTTCGAATTTAACCGAGGTAAACTTCTCGTCTGAACAGCTCAGCCAAATTCGGGTCTGCTTATCGTGAATACGTTCTGGCAAAACGTGAACCTCGGGTAACTCTCCCAAACCTCTGACCTCCACCCAACACGCATTTGTTTTTGTAGGGCTGGTTGAGATTCTGTAAATTGTAAAGACAACTTATAATGACAATTAATAACTCTGGCTTGTGTAATGCGTGCGATACTTTCCGAACGGATTTTTTTATCATGGTCCCAAATTCGGTCACAGAAGAATAGGTATCGAGCAGCAAGAACGTGAAAATATTTTCTTGGAATTTGAACGCGGTCAGTGGTTGGGCGTTCAAGCTGACCATGAGCAAAGAATTGGGTTGATGGTTCCTGCCCCGCACCAGTGGTGCGGAGGTGATTCCACCTCGAGAGGCTGCACCAGTGGTGTGGACCATTTGCCTGGCGAGGAAATGACCTGGAACACCCGCGCGGTTAAGTTGCAGTGTCACAAAAGTGCTGTTCTGAATGTTTTCGTGGTTAAGTTGATGCGCCCAGCTTCGGGGTTCACCCAACCTGAGCCGAACCATTATAAGCGAACCATTGATGCGGAAAGAAGCTTCCGCGATGGCCGTTTTCGGCCGTGTTGCGCCAGAAGAACAGCGCCTATAATTCAATATTGTAATGATAAACCCATGGTGTTTTCGGGCGGGAAGCTGCGGCATCCGTGACACGCTGTCAATGGTTGGCCGCCCCCACCGAATGATTCCCTAGCAGGACTGTCGACTGGTTTTGAGGCACCCGGACGAATCCGTGGGTCTGGCATATGTGTGACCCTCAGGGCGCGGTACAAAGTTGTTCAAAACAGGTGTTCAAGATGGAAATGACGAATTGTCGTTCAAACGGGCTTGAACGGTGTTCAAGCGAGGGTGGTCAAGATTAGGCCGTCAAGATGAACATACACGGTGCATGTTACACAAACGCAAACACACGAGTTGTTCAACAAGGGGGGTCCCGTCAAATTGAGGAACCGCCAACTGCGGTGCGACAGCTCTGCGAGTAGTGACCCCAGTAACATTGTCGTTAACCTGACGCGGCGAAAAAGTGGGACACGTGAAAAGCATCTGTCGCCAACATTCTTGACCAGCGATGCGGTACAGGACATACATGCTGACGAACGTGTTGATAAAAAAGACAGACCCGCGTTCGTCAGCATGGAGGTCAAGACGGGCCCACATCTTGACCTCGGGAGGTACAACACAATACTGTACTATTATAATTAACATGGTAACCCGACTCGTCTTTCGGATAAACACGTCTTGAACAACTTTGTACCGCGCCCTCTGAGAAGAAACGAGGAGTGAAATGACTAAGGGAAAGTTGGGTACAAAATGCAAACCCTAGAAAACTGTACCCCATATGTGCTACCCCACTATAGCCTACAGTAGCTCTGTCATATAAATCTGACACACCCCCATAGGCAAAGTGGGGGAGAACAAGGGGTCACAAGACCAGTCAAGCAAAGCAAAGCAAGCTCAGGGTGGATCACAAAGTCACCACACATTCCGAGCACAGGTTCAAGGCCACAAGGCCAGTTCACATGCAGGATTACATATATATATATAAAGCTAGACAAGCAAGAGCAGGTGTATATATATATGCAACAGTACAA